TGCCTACCGGGTGCGCGGGCGGGTGTGTGAGAGAAGGCGAGGGGAGCCGCAGGGTGGGAGAGGAGGGAGTCCCGGCGGGAGGGCGGGGTAGAGGCTGGCGGGAGGGGGGCTTCACGGAGCTCCAGCCAGGGCCGCGGTGCGCCTGCACGTCACGGCTACTCAAACCCAAGCACGTCCCGAAAGCGGTATTTTCTGCGTCTGGGAGGTTTTTGCATCCTCAGTTCCCACCGCTGGGGCTGGCGGCGACCAACTGTAAGAGAAACTCACTGGGAGGCGAGGCAGGGGGGTGCGGAGGATGGGAAGGCGACTCTGAAGGGTGGGAAGTGAATGCTGGACTTGATCGTCTTTCTCTGTCTTTCAGCGCGGACCTGTCGCAGCCAGAGAGCTGTCATTTTAGCACCGGGATTCAGAATTGATCCAGTCCGCAGCGGAGGGGGTACATCCCAGCGCCCGAGCTGCTGAGTGTCTCTGGCTGGAACAATAGTAGTTTTTCTCTGCGAGGCTGCAATTAACATCTTATTTGTTCTGGCTCCATACAGGCTTTGTCAGGATCGCGGTGCGGCGACCGAGGTTGGGCTCTTGCATTGCTTTCTGCTTGGCAATGGAATCATGGTTTCGGGGTCTAAACTTTTGTTTCATTTTGTAGTCTTAATGCATCTGATTCTTTTTCAAGTTTCCCTAGTAACAGGTTTGGGGACGGGGTGGGAAGAAACAAGAAAAGGGGTGAAGAGAAACAACCAGATTATATAGAAAGGGAAAAGGGATAAGTTTCCCCACCTTTTAATCTATCTGCCTGTCTATCTATCTATTATCTATCTGTCATTTTGCCTCCTGGACAGTTGGCTGACGAAGTGTCTGATAAACCAGCTTCAGATACATGCTACAAAAGGTCATTCGCCTCCTGATTATGTCTCTACTTGTAAACGCAGTTGGTGGTTTGCAAAACAAGTGCTAAAATAGTGCAATGATGTGGTGGGAGGAAACCATCATGGGCAATTCATATCAAGTGCTGGAATCTTCATAAGGGTGAGTTTCTCGAGCGGCAGGTGAAGTTGAATAAAGCAATTTTCCATCATTTGTTCCCCTCACTCTTGCATTTTTTTCCTCCGCTCGTTTCTCTCCCCTGGGGCGATTATGGATAGCCAAGAACACCATTTTAAAAGAGATTGATAGTGAAAACAGGAAGATGCTGATGGTCTTTTATCCACTGAAGTTGTTTGAAATATTAAAATTGGTCCTTTACTTCTTAATACATATTAACAGAGTGACCGTCTTCAAGGCTTTCCCTTGTTAAACGAGTGCCTGGGATAAACACTCTGTAAGGGAAACAGTTAATAATTCCCCAACAGGCTTTAACTATTTTCCCAGTAACAGATCACCGGCAAGAGAGCAGCCTGGGTGGCATTTTGGTTTTGTGTCATTTTGGTTCTTTAAAATATTTTTTATTCATTTAAGGAAATGTTAAAAGGAATAATTAGGGTTTATATCCAGAACAAATTTTGAAACACCGTTTAAGCAAACACATTTTCTTTTAAAAACAAAGAACATTGAGCAACACAAAGGAGAAAAACATTTTATTTCAACTTCCCTAGAGATCATAATTATGATTTTTGCAAGGCAATTTGGTCATTTCTGTTACTTTATCCAGAGGAAAAGAAAACCATGACAGATGTGGAATAAAAATGGAGAAAAAAAAAATGCTTCGGGTGGTTTATACATAAAAAGGAAATAATGTAATGGGAGGTTCAGTTATACTTCTATTTTGCACCTAGTGATTTCTCATATTATCTTGTAACACTGTGATTTTGATGTTTCTTAGAAATTCTTAAAGTCATGACACAGTGGCATAAGAATAACAGCTGAAAGGGACAATTTAAAAGGCTTAATCCTAAATGGAAAGGATCACTTACTCCCAGGATCATTTATATTCAAGTAGAAGTCAGGGCAGGGTCAGAAAAGAAAGCCATCCTTAATAAAGCCCTTCACCCTTCACATTGTTTCTCATAACCTTCATAAATTGCAGGCTACTGAGCTGGCCTGATGATGATCCTGCTGAGATATATTTATAGCAGATGATTTGTGGATGATAACTACGCCAAGCAAGACACGGTCTCCAGTAACCCCAGGCTCGTCTGACTTCCTCAGGGGATTATAATCAAGAATCAGGAAAAGAACCCTATATGAACAGTCTGGTCTCTGGACACTAACAACAGCACAATCCAAAGGCAAAGCAAGGAAGGAACCACTTTGTTTCATGTCTGCAAGATGCTCCATATAGAAAGCATTGCTGACATGTTGACCCAACAGCAAAAAGAGAGCAGCAGTTCACACACCCTCAGCTCTCTGTCCTTTCGTTTCTATTGATGTTGGTCCACTTTTATGATTTAATACATGTTAAATTCACCATTTCAAATTATCATTATCTGCTTTCATTGGTCTTTTTCACGAGTCCAAGTGTATGTCTATATTTATGTTTATATATATAAACATTTTATTTATACATACCTATGTATATGTATGCACACATTTGCAAGTATGCATACACATATGTGTGTGTATATATGTATTTGATATGTATGTATTTCAGTTGATACACATATATTTGCTTGGGAAGTTTCACTATATTGCTTTGTATTTCTCTGTTATAAAGTAATGCATTTCATTCCAAAACTACCAGATTAATTGTATAAATTGATTATTACATAAGTTTCCTTGATGATTTACAGAAGAACTATTGAGAGGTCACTGTTAGCACATCAAAATATAGACTGGTATTACATTTTAAATTGACCCAGGTATTTAAAGTTAAAGCCTTTGAAATTTATCTTTCCTATTATTAATGCATTTTATTAAGATTACTTTGGAATGATGAGATTTCTAAGTTTGATTTATCTCTGTTTTTCATCTTTTTGTCTGTATGTGCTAAATTTAGTCCCTCCACTTTGAGAATAACCCTATAATCCAGGATCACTGCTTAAAATTCAGTATCATTTGCACAATTCTCATACTCAAATAAGAATGTTTCTAGAATACGTTTACTCAATTTTAAAAAGTGTTTTCTCTTTCCTTCTTTCTCTCATAGTCTTTCTGATATTACCATATTACCACATTCTAAATTCTGTAACTTGTTATTTTCAGTAAGGCTTTAAGAAGCATGGATAGGCTTGTAGGTTATTTCTTGTTAAATATGCCTTAATTTTTTAGTATTTAGTATTATTTTTTAGTATTTAGTATTTGGTATCTCCCATATATATATACACACACATATATATATACACTATACACACACACACACAGAGCTTTTGGAATGTTAATTAAATGATCAAAATATTATAAGATTACATTGTTATGAGTACTTAACTTACTCTTAAAAGTAGCATATTTACTATAAATTGAAACAACTTCTTCTTCTTCTCTGTCTCCTCCTGATTATTATGATTTTTTTTGTTATTAAATAAGGAAGTCTCTCAGGAACCAAGCTGTATATCCTCTAGTCTCTTTGAAAAAACAAATTGGTCATTTTCTACTTGGACATCCCAGAATAGAAAGTACATGGAAGTACTAAAAAATAAAGGGATAGACTTGGGGTTAAGGGAGATGTCATAGAACAGCTATCCTGGGTTAGTTCAAGTGTAGTCCTATTCCATGCCAGGCAAAGTCAAGGTTAAGTTTAGTCCAAAAATCCCAGTTACATCAAGTTTCCATTTTTTATCATTATTTCCCTATACAACGATACAAGTTTTTAAAAAGTCGGTAAATACTTTTGGCCATCAATTTTCAAGGTTTCATTGGTGATATTAAGGAAATACTGTAAGTAGGTAACACATAATGTCACATCTGTGTGCTGTAGAAGCATCTTGAAAAATATGGACTTTAAAAGCTCAAAATATGTGTTTGCAATTGAACATTCACCCCCAAATTTGTCCTTTTTCAGCTAGTTATTTTTTCATATGAAGTTACTATACTTCTACCATTATCTTTAATCTCTGAAATTTCAATTATACTAGAAATCAAGATTCTTCATTTTTACTCACGAACCTGACACTAAGTGTATACCTCATTAAGGACAAGAAGCTATGAATTCTCTGGACTTCAGTTATCTCACAGAAAAAAGCTTGATTGAATAATGTCTAAGGCTCTTCCTGACATATTCTAAATAACAGAAGGTGTCTCACAAGAAATGGAAGCAGTGAGAGAAAAATGCAATTAAATCCTAGACTAGAAAGAATCACAATTTTTCCACTCACAGGTTGGTAATGCCTCTCTATTCTATCATAATTTTGAAAACCTCCATAGTTTTACCAGCTTTGCCTTTCCCCGTTGCTATCATCTGCTGAGGTACAGACAGTCCTTTCCATTTTTGTTCCTCTCCCACTCTAATAATTTTTTTTTCTTTGACAGAAGTCCCACTTTACCATTAATGATGACAATAACTAAAGCTGCCAGGAACAGCACATTTGCTGACCTTTATCAACACCAGGTATTGAAGTCTATGGACTACCTATTATTTCTGAACATTTCTTCATGTTCAGTCCTGTTTCTACCAATTCTGATCCACTTATCTCCACCATTTCTCTTCCTAGCAGATTCTCTCATTTTGCCTTCTGGATCTCCATGCTCTTTTATACCAGCAAACAAGAGGAAGAATATTCTTTACCCACTTCCTTGACTGAAGCCTGCTCTTTTATGAAGACATGGCATCTCTTCCAACCGTGTCAAACAGAAGCAATTTATGTGTATGCCGCTTCCATACCCTGATTCAATGAGTCAGGGGCAGAATCAGGATCCTTACTCTCCCCTTTGGTTTCAAATATTTACTCCTCATTTCCCTTTCATGCCCACCTTTCTGTAGAGATGAAGGCATCTGCCTTTGCAGCTTTACCTCTTCCTCCAGATTATATTTTCCATTCATGGAATCTTTTAGCTGCCGGCTCGCAGTTTTCCTGTCCACCTGACTTCCATTCCTCTTCTCATGGCTTCAGCTCCCATGCAGATGTCTTATCCTGACACACTAGCTTCTCCATTCTATTTCTGTTTTTTGTTTGTTTGTTGTTTGTTTTTTGTTTGTTTTTTCCTACTACTTCAACAACATTTCCCTATGGTCTTTAACTAAAAAGTCTAACCAGTGACTAAACCACTCCCAATATTTAACATTTAATGTTTCAGTGCCTTAATTACCACCTTCTACTTTTAAAAACTCACCTAAGTAACCACATGGAATCAAGTCTTTCACAAAATTCAGGTCTTTTTTTTAATTATTATTATTGATTCCCACCAGTTTCTACTCTTATCTTCATTTTCCTCCTTATACCCTGTGGTAAGCAGCCTCTCACATGGACCCTAATGATCCCTACTTCCTGGTATGTGTGTCCTTGTGTAATGTCTCTCTCTTGAATGTGGGCTAGATTTAGAAATTTGCTTTTATCAAACAGAATATGGTAGTAGCAATGGGATGTTTAGATATAAAATGAATGTGTCTTCCATCTTGGGAGCTCCTTTACTCTTCCTTAGAGCATTTGTTTGCAATAAGCCAGGTATCCTGTTATGATACCATCCTAAATAGAGAAGTCCATGTGAGTTTGGCCTTCTGAGGCCTGTCAAAAGACACATGAGTGAGCTCAGAAGTAGAAGCTTCCTCATTCAAGTCTTGAGAGGACTGCAGTCCAGCCAACATCTTGGTTGCCCCTTCATGACAGGCTTGTGGCAGAATCAAGCAGCTAAGCTGCTTCTGGATTCCTGACCTACAAACACTATAGATCAGGAATGTTTGTGGCTTCCAACTGCTAAATTTGGGGATAATTTGTTATGCAAATGTAGGTAACTAATGTATACCTCATGGATTCCACGCCCATTGTTATGATAATTTACTTACAACCATCTTCAGCTATTTACTACATTTTCCTGGCTGGATCACCATGTTTACTGTGATGGACAACTGCCCTTTCTGATCCAAGACCCATGCAACAGAGCATTACTGAAGAAATTCACACCCTCAGGCAATTAGATGTCCCTGTAAAGTTATAGTCAACTGGTTCTTATGACCTCACCACGTAGACTGTTACTTATAAGCTCCCTCTCTTATTACACCTATGGATATTTTGTAACTTTTCTTTGATCATTAAAAAGCTTCTCCTCAACTCTTGAATGATAAGTGATAACCTTTTTTCATTCATTATTATAAAACAGATATGATTAGATGGAAAATACCTTACATTCATTAAACTGACTTTACCTTCCCCAATTTTCTCCTGTCTTCCTATCTCCAGGGAGATACTGCCCTTATCTAAGAGGTCATCCCCTCCACAGGTAACTTGGATCTTACTTCTACTGGCTTTCACACCTCTCTCCTGGGCCACTTCCATCAGCATACATATTTTATAGCAATACTACCCGTCTAAAAACTTCTGATCAACAACCTGTTTCTTAGATCCCCTTCATAACGAATCTTTTTTAAAAAAGCAATCACATTCACTTCACTTCCTTACTTCCCTCTCATTTCTCAACTCAATCCATTCTGGCTTCCACCCCCACAATTCCACTGAAAAAATTCTTGTCAAAAATCACTAAAGACCTTCATGTTGCCAAGTTAAAGGGATAAATGTTTTTCTCATCTTACTCCAACTTTCAGCAGCATTTTAAATGCAATGCCCTCCTTTTGGAAACCACTTCTATTTTGGTTTCTGTTTTATCATACTCTCCCAGATGTACTTTTATGTCCCTAATCACTGTGAAGACACTGAGATGCTTCTCAGTGTCTTTTGCTTGTTCTTCTTCCATGTTAACTTGAAATGCTGACTACTGTAGTGATAAGTGTTGGATGTACTTCCCTTATTTCTCTACCACCTCCCCTTTGGTGATCAAATCCACTCCGTAATATTGAATATCACCATAAGTATGTATATGTACGTACATGCATACACACATATGAATAGACACCCCATGTATATTCCTTTAACAAGGGTATCTCCTCTGAGCTCTAGATTTTTAAATAATCAACTGGCGTGATTTATATCTCTACTAAATATGCCTCACAGTCATCTCAGATTTGGGGTAATTAAAGGAAACTTCCTGATTACTCCAAAGAAATGTGCCCTTCCCTCAGTCTTTCTGTTTCAGGAAATGAGATCCCTATCTACCTAGTTATTCAATTGGCAAACATGGGAATGATACCTGCTGCTCATTTTCTATCACTCTACATCTAATCCCTTGACAAATATTGCCTGTTCCACTTTGTATAAGTTTCCTAGGGCTGCCATAATAAAATTCCACAATGTGGATGGTTTAAGCAACAGAAATTTATTTTTTTCACAGTTTTGGAGGCTAGATGTCTAAAATCAAAGTCCTTATTGGATTGGTTCCTCTGGGGCCCCTTTCTCTGGCTTGCATATGGCTGCGGTCTTGCTGCCTCTTCAAATGG